AAGCGATATTGAGATACACTTAGATTGATTTAATTTATTGGAAAGTTCAGACTTCAGAACCTTGCCCGAAAGTGGGAAATAAATAAACGAGTAAACTTAGATTCGAAGTCAAGATCTCATTGGTTAACCATTTGGATTTGAAGTTTGGAAATGGTCAATTATAGTAAATCAGTAAATCTGGAGAGACCTCGACAGCGGTCATTATTATAGCGGCTCGTCGCGCGTTCCTAAATTCCAAGTAAGCATAACTAAATGCAAGTCCGTACAAGTCGCATGCGCACGAGATTCAATTTCAGCCACCGAACACCTCAGCATTCAGTGCACCTTCGACACGCTTACGTCGCGTCGCTTTCTTCTTAATGTGTACCTCATTAACCAGCGAAAACCCGTTTACATTAAAAAAAACAATGAACACTTTCCGTTGAAACCTTATTCCCATCGTTTTACTGCTTCGCCGATCTAATTACGACAAACTCTCATGATTCGAGTAAATTATGCAAACCTCAACTCGCTTTCGTTTCTAAGACTGTTATGGTTTTTAATAAGAGAAGTAAATAAATGCTTTTCATAATATTTGCTCGCAAACAAGTGATCCCTTCCCGACCGCTCTTGTCGGTTTGAATTGAAGAACAAACATCGCCATATCAAAGCATTGGAGCAAATATCATAAGTATCAACATACTTCAATAATTTTGGCTTCATTTACGGAAATACGTAAACATTTTTTATTGGTAAGATTTTGATTAAGAATCTATACTTCGTGTGAATAATTTTAACTAGGTTTTTTATACTCGAATTATGGTTGAGGCTAATTAATTTTAAACATTTAGTAGAAGGCTAAAGTGAGATTATCATTATGGATTTTTTTTGCAAGAAAAAGACGATGACCTTCCTGAGGTCTAGGAGAATATTAATATGACCCATTTGTCTAAGCCTTTGTTTCTCATTTAAAATAATTGTATAGGTAGAATATAAACCGAAACAATATGAATATGTTTTTCTTCATGTGAACATTTCTAAAGATTTAATAATTTATATAGCGGGAATACCTTTCCACTCCTACTCCCACTCCCACTCCTATTCTCAAAAAGCCAAAGAAGAAAGTTTCAATGTTCTATTTTCAAAAACCACGAATTTGAAATACAATTGTTTATCCGTCCTCCTTCCATTGAAACAAAACCAAACTTCGTTTCGTGTTATTTTTGGTTTGGCCCTATATAGCCGCGTTTTACCCACCGGGATAGTGGTGTTTGCCAAATACATTACACCGTTATTGACTTAGTGCAATCATTAATGCGTCTGCAAGGGCCCACTTATTAATTTTAATAAGTGGGGTGACTTGCATTTTGAAGGGGCGACGACAGATCGCCGTGTTTGTTTTATTAGTTTTGATTTTATGGTTTTGGTGTTTATTTAATACTAATCACATCCGCGAAAATCAATAAAAGGATGACGTAATATTATACCTTCTTGCCGCCTATCAAAAAAGTTAAAGCAAAGATTGTTAGAGAAAAATATATGATTTTGCTGTTGCCTGTTTAACAGTGCTTTACGACAGTTGTAAGTTTATGTAAACGCTTATTTTATGAAAATAAAAAATATCTTAGTCTTTCAGTTATTAGTAATCTTTTCGCTAACTTAGTGCGTCGATAAAATATAGTAAATAGTCTTTGATAATAAGACGACGAAAATAAACGAATCTGATGACTGTGAACATTAAGTCAATCCTTTTTACACTTGCAATAGGTATTACTTTGATCCAGAAACATAGAAATGCAAAATATACACAGTATGCACTATAGTCGAATAAAAGTAACCCCACAGACTCAACTGCCATAAAACTGCAGCAAGCCGGCAAGGCGTGTGCCGCCTGCGGCGTATCTCTAAATTGCATTTTAATTTAATTACGCCTCGATATAATTTTTCGGTGCGTCCTAATCAGATAACTGGAACATTATCAAGTTAAAGCCCTTTTCGACAAAGGCGATGCTCACGCGGTATCCGACTTAATTGTCGTAATTTAATAAAAAAACTGATCATTTTTAAACATAAAACATTTATAGTTCTATATTCTATATTGTATTCGAACTTAGTAACTTTTTTTATGATAGAAGAGGACAAACAAGCATGGGATCAGTTGATGGAAGGTGCTGTCGACTTATTTTGTCGCTGGTTATCATATTTTGCTTTCGATACTTCCTAAAAGGGGAAATTTTAACTTAGATAATCATATGGCGAAGGTGAAAGTATTTATTCTTATACTACCCCCTAAATGCTTTAGTGCGAGAGGTCTTGGGCTAGAATATTGGGTAAACATAATAGGTCATTTGTTTTGGTCAGTACAAAGCTCACAAATGAACTACATTCATTAAATTATTGATTAGTAAAACCGACTTCTAAAATAAAATATACCTAGACATTTTATCTCTATATTAAACCGTACAGCGATTCTAAAGCTAAGATTTTATCATCAGGAGTTAATTTGTTTTTGTGAATCATGTAGAATTCTGAAGGGGACTGGGGATATAATTATTTATGATGGTACATACGATAACATTTCTCATAGTAACACAATACCGAGGGCGTGGCACGCGCGCTGAAAAAATATTCTTTGGGGCATGATGTCTACAGCATAAATACAAATGTATAACATTCATCCGTGGGATAAAACCAAATTTTGTAACATTGTAATACGTAAGGCTATTTTAATAGACTACATTTGTTATCAACTTTCACGAAGTTACACGCCTGAGTTAATCTAGAACATGCCGATTTGTTATTAGTAAAAAAAATACATTGTAAGAAATTAGGCAGCTGTACAGTTCTAACGGTAAAATATTTACTCTAAATAGTTACTCCAAAGTCATAGTGTCAAATAGAATGAATTTTCATGCTAATTATTCAAAAATATTTTTTTGATTACAAAGGTATACTACACTATAAAACATATTTCTAACAGAATGTTTTAACAGTACTACTTGTAGATATAGATAGCTATTTAATTCACGAACTTAACTGCGAGGCGACTCTTGAGGTGGGTACTATAAGCTGAAATTGATACGTTTTAAACAGTTTCATATAATGTGTAATGTGTATTCTTCATATGTATTCTATTTTTAGTTACTGTAAAAATAAAAGGAACACTTTTTTAAATATTGAATGGAAGTCCGCAGCTAAATGTAAATCATACGTGTTGCGTAGCAACGTTAAGCGCGAGAGGTCCTGGATTGGAATTCCAGGGAAACAATAGATATTTTCCCTGGGATTCTAATCAAAAGAAGTTTAATCAACTACTTGGCTGTAAATAAAACTGATAAGTGAAAAAGAAATGTGTTCGCCTGATGGCCCACTACGGGCAACGGGATTTCACACACTTTAAATAATGATTTATTTAGAATATCCTAAAGAACAATCGGTAACCACGTGTGAATTAGTGGAGCTTAACAGATTTCGCATGAATGGAGGGCCGTCGCATCCGTTTTAAAGCTTAGCAAAACGGTAAGAAGCTCCAGCAATGCAAGCTCGACAAACCCTCAATTACCGGAGCGCACGCGCCGCAACTCTAGGGACTTTGCACGCGACCCACCCTCAGCAATTATGATATACAATATGACTACGAGGCGCTACTTTTATAAATTCTATCGATTTTTTATAAAAGTCCCAGTATTTAAATACGTTCTAGGGATAAGTAAAAGTTGTAGTGAAAAATGAATTGCAATAAAAGATACAATTAAAAACATTTCATTTAGAACAATGAGGACTTTTAAAAATAAGTATTTTATATAAGTGGGTAAATATTTGTACAAAAAAATATATATATTGGTAGGTATAGCTGTCAATACTTACTTACTTTTACTTAATAAATTTTTTTTTTGTGATTTATGTAGATAATTGATGAAACTGTAAAAAACAATGGGAACAGTAACTAAATTATTACTTTTCTTCTAAACATGAACAATGCGCCCTAGGCGTGCATAATATATTCCTCTTTTTAGAAAAGTATACAAGAAATCATTTTGTGTGATTTATCTTGCCTCGTCAAGAATACTGAAAAATCTAAAAGAACAGCTTACATACCGACAAATTTAGTACTTTCGTTTAAAGCAATTTCTAAAGATTTCCTTGCGATAAATCTTTTGTCACTTTAATAGATGTTAATTATTCATAAGATTCAGAGAACTTTTCACGGGCAAGTGTAGCTAGGCGTGCTCAGAGAGGTACAAACGACGTGGAGCCATGGGAAGGACAGTAAAATATGTGATTTATGAAGTCGTAAAGTTGCACAGGCGGCTGCCCTCGCGTTCACTTGTATAATTCATTGTAGCACGCAGGCCACGCTTGACCAAGTCCTAGGCTGGATTGAGTTAGAGATTTATGCTCACAATTTATGGAGCAAGTTTTTATAGGAAATATTAGCCGCGGCAACAAACGAGAAACAACACCATTTGCAACTATTAGAACGTTTTATGCCTAACTATTTCTTAACCACATAATAAAACACGACGATTCCTTTTGAAGTCAAAAGTGTGTCTAACAGTGATTTTAATTATAATAATCATTAGTAGATACCTACACGACCAAATAATGTTGCGTAGCAATGCGTTACACTTAAAGGTAGGTAGGTATATTGGATATCGTTTAATAAGCTTCTTCAAGTCAATTAATGCCTTTATATGGTTCAAAAAGGTGTGAAGAAGATAACTAACACATTACTATAGACTTAATTTTCAGTACTGGGAAATAAACAATTTAATTGCGTGCATTTACTTAATTAAAAAATGTATTTCGTATTTTAGTGAACTGCTACACTAATACAATGTAAATTAAGTCTTCGTCTCTAACGCCAATATCTAAAGTATAATGTAGGTACGTTTAATTGGAAAGAAAGCTTATCAAAATACTGCATCAGCGTGGTTTCCACCTAGAAAAACAATCCTAAAGAAGCCATAGATAGCTAGGCGAGATAATTGAAAAAGTATGATCAGCAAATAACGAGTACATCAAGTTGATTCGCCTACAAAGCACTTCAAGTGCACAGAACGGAATATTACTCGCGCGGAAATACGAATTTTCTTTAATCGATCGATGGGTGGGTCTTCGGGTGTGGATTGGTCGCTGGGCGTGGTGCTCGTTATCATTAGAGGCGCCTTGGCCAATGGGAGAAAGCTGATCGTAGGGGGGTTGGGGTCGTGAGGAAGGGTGGCGTCAGTGCGTCGGACGCTGAGGTCTAGGGCGGTCGTGGGCATGCTGGCTCCCATGATGTACCCGGGCACGGAGGAAGAGCTCGACATGCGAGTGCCGCCGATCCAGCTCGAACACCTGCCTGAAGTGTTCCTATGTATGTAGATTACTTAGTGAGTGTGCTGTGTTTTAATACTACGCGAGTGAATTAGAGAATGTGAAAAATATATATTTTATGTGTTAAATGTCGTCAATCTTTACGTTAGGAAGACTATCCAGGATTATAATGTTTTGTTTTCATATTAATCTCAAATTCCAACGTTAATTTACTAAGTACAACGAGTATTAAATACTAATTATTTTTATTGTAATTAAAAATAGTGCATTACACTAGTGTTTTTCGAGTGTGTGTTAGTGGCCTTTTGTTTTTGGTGGTAATGTAATCACCAAAATTGGACCTATGTTGTGTGTGTGTTTAGTTTATATTATCAATTAAAATCCTTATTGTATACATACATACAGATGTGTATACATTTAGCGAAACAGTCACGTGTGAACAAATCAGTGAAAAAAAAAAACATACCTATTTATTTCTATTTAGTTATTGTAGTCAATAATAGTAAATAATTTTTAACCGGCGAAAACTTTTAGTGTGGGGTGACCTTTGATATTTTGAGCTTTACAAGAGATATTATAATGATTTTAATTTGATTGCAATGCAATAAAATATTAACGGTTTAAAGCGTGAAATTATTAAATTTGTTCAAGATTAACTAATATATTTCGCGTTTTAAACCGTTAAAATGTTTTATTCAAACGTGTACTACTCGCGTGAACTACAGACGATCACGATTTCCAATACTAAAAGGGGATTTCGTCTATATAGCGTATATGATAGAAATTCCCATAGGTAAATAACTAAATGAGGTAGTTTATTTAACACGGCTAGTGTTAAATAAACTGACCCCAACTTTGTTCGAGTAGAATATCTATTTAGGCAATCAAAACTTGTTTGTTGCTAACTTCCTCTTTATACATTTTACTTGTTGCCCACGACATCGTCTGCGTACCGTTGATCCTGCAAGTTACTTTTAAATGATAGACATTTACTCTGAACAACATAAAAATATTTGTTTGATTCGTATCAGTAGTTCCTGAGATGAGCGCGTTCAAACAAATAAACTCTAAAATATTTACATATTCGTATAGATTACAATGACAATGTTGTTGATTTTGTGCAGCCAGTATCCCGAAATGTGGCGGGTGTCACGAGATGATCGTAGACCGTTACGTTCTGAAAGTGTCAGACAGGACGTGGCACGCCGGGTGTCTACGCTGTGTCGAGTGTCGCGCTATGCTCTCGGGCAAGTGCTTCGCTAGGAACAATCAGCTCTACTGCACGGAGGATTTCTTCAAGTAAGTCTCTGTATGGAACACAATGTTGGAACTTACTTGTCAATCATACCATCTCATTATTTGGCACATTTTAAAGTACAAAGTAGCCCAAAAATTATTCAAATTGAATTTAGGTGTAGACTATATGTCAAAGTTAGATATGTACTCTCTGAAACAAGCAAGCTATTTCTTATAATTATTAATATACTACGTCCATGACAGCAATATCATTTTTTTTAACAAAACACTTCTAAGACTTCTTAGAAACTATTAGGTAGTTCAGTACTGGCTAGGTCCATACCTAGCCAGTTTCCAAACTAATTACGACGAAACGTAATATTAGGAACCAGTAGCGTAGCTAGGTGGACAAGGGCCCCGGTCTACCCTGAGGCTAAAGAAAGAATCGGGTCCTCATCCCCTCTTTTAGCATAGCTTGAATTAAATGAAACTCCAAAATTATAGATAGCAACAAGAACGTTAGAAATCCTTTTATTTTACGCTTATATCTTCTCAAAGATAAGGTTAGAGGGCCCCTAAGTTCCGGGGCCCTCGTGCACTGCACCACCTGGCCGAAATTAATTTATCATTCAAATAAATCAATCACTTAAAGTAAAATTCTCATAATTTTTACTCGATGAGATTGTAGAATAAACGAGAAGTAGAAGGTATGATCTTCAACAACATCTATGATGCTGAATGTACGCTCTGTTTTCTCTTCTTATTTTAAGTATTCACGTAACAATGTCACGTTGATAATGTTGTTTTGATTGCGGCTGTTGTCCCAGGCGGTTCGGCACTAAATGCGCTGGGTGCGGGCAAGGCATCCCGCCCACACAGGTAGTCCGCCGAGCCCAATCACACGTCTACCATCTACGCTGCTTTGCATGTGCCGCCTGTGCCAGGACCCTGAACACGGGAGACGAATTCTACTTGATGGAAGACGGGAAGCTGGTGTGTAAGCCTGACTACGAAGCCGCGAGGGCAAAAGGTATGTAGCTCCATTTGTCTATAAAAGGCATTTGATAAGCGCAACGTCCTGAATTCAAATCCTGGTAAATACAATAAAAGGTTACGGTCATCTAGAATACAGAAATCTGATCAGTTATCTGTTAATACAATCGTTCAGTATATCAGACGAAAAATTTTGCCTGAATAGAGGAAGCGGGATTTGATTTGTACAATTAGAGATTCACCATCTACTTAAAGTATTAACTTAGTAAAATTGAGTTTTACGCTACACAAAAGCTAATATCTACCATAAGTCGTGTGCAAAATGTTTGTTTGTTAAAAGTTACAAATTGTGAGGAAACATTTTTTAATTTAAAGTTATTTAGTAATAAATTCGCGAAAGTCAATTTTCAATATATTTAAAACTATAATGTACTTTACACAATTTGATAGGTAAAGTAAGTTGCTACGCGATGGCTACGCTCGTACGATCGTGTAGCAGTATTACACCGGCTTAATATGGATTACCTTTAGTGTCTCCACACCTTAGCTTGTATAACAAAAAATAAGTACCAATTCTTACAATAGATTGTAAACGTTTAGAATTTACATACTGTAACGTATGATAACCATATTGTAATGCCGTGCTGAGAGAAAATTGATATGAATTTTACATATTTATTGATTATGTAACTAAATACCAAATCATGAATTAAAGTAATGTTACCTATAGGCTATCAAAACAATACTACCTACTTAATACATAAAAATAACTAAAACTAATGTAAGTATATACTCAGAGACAGTAACTTAACATGTTTCAGTAAAAACATTGTGAGATATATCAATAAAAAATGCATGAAGGTGGGAAACAGTGTCTTTTACAATACAACCAAAATTAGGTATATCCTACTTTTTTCCAAGTTAAAAACTTAAATCTTAAATCTAAGACTTAGGTCTAGGTTTCTTCATTTTGTCTATAATGACCATTCCGTTGAAATTTCAGTAATTTAACATATGTTACGTTAGGCAGATTAATTAATCTTTAACCGTTTTAAGCCAAAATTCGTAGTAACTCATTACTTAAGGTAACCTTATTATGGTAACCTATTACTTAAGGTTAAATTTAATAGCCAATTCCGGTACATGTTAGATACAACTCAATACAAATCTATCAATAGCATAGCTTCATTAAAACATATCGAAATAAATGTTGTGTACCGTTTTATTATCGTTCCGTCCTAATAAGAAGGGTAAGCATTAGTATTATATCGGACTTTTGCGGGCTAGCAAAACACATCTCACTAGAGTGAAGAATATCGATTCGCCATGCCAAAAGTTAAAAACAAAAATTTCAACAAGATATTTTTTAAACTTTGATTTATAGTATATATTCAACTTATTATGTGTACCTACTACTCGTGCAAACTACGAATCTTACTTAAATACAATTTACTGAAAATAGGTGACGGATCCATCGACGGCGATGCAGCAAGTAAACGACCTCGAACGACCATCACAGCAAAACAATTGGAAACATTGAAAAGTGCTTACAGCAGTAGTCCGAAACCCGCGAGGCACGTGCGGGAACAACTCGCACAAGACACGGGTCTGGACATGAGAGTAGTTCAAGTCTGGTTTCAAAATAGGTAAGATTTAATATTTAAAGTATTTTATATATTTCCTAAGTTTCAAAGTACAATGGCTCTTAATGCTACACTTATTACTACAATTTAAATTAATACTTTTAATATAACCTCAATAACTTACGTTATTCAGGTTATATTAAAAGTATTAATTTAAATTGTAGTAATAAGTGTTACTATGTGTTGAGTTACTCTTAAAATATAGACACTGTAAAGGACATTTTTTTTATATCATGTAAATAGGAATTACTTTTTCATACTTATTTGGTGGCTTAAACAAAGATGAATCATATCCCGGCTGTTTCTACATTTCGCACTGCTACTGTAATGGTCTTCCCCTTAATTCCCACTGGATCCAACATGTTTCTAATAAATAAAACACTTTAACGGTTTAAAACGCGATATATTAGTTAAACTTATTTGAAAATGATTTTTAACTTCGGCCCGACGTTTCGGATGCGTTGCAGCAGCCGTGGTCACGGGGAGAATAAGTTTAATTAATATATCGCGTTTTAAACCGTTAAAGTGTTTTATTTAACTGTGTACTACTCGCGTTAACTATAGACAGTATGTTTCTAATAATTTTATAATTTTTCGGACTCATGTTGGACTTCGTCTGGAAATCTTATTAAATAGGCGGTAGGAATATCAAAATTCCCTCCGGGTGACGTGTCCACAGATGAAAAGCAGTAAAGTCTAATCTCGTTTCGGTTTCATTCTGTGGAATTGCGGAAGCCAAAAATTGCTCAAGAATCTTGGTAAAATGTTATATGGCTGGGTTATTCACTTCCTATCAAGTGCTAGTCCGTCCTGTATCATAAAAAACATTGTAATTTAAAAATAACTTTAAAACAGTATCAAATCAATTAACCAGCGAGTCCTATGTGTTACGCTATTGATTTTTTATGTCTAATCGATTCCTTATAAACAATCGATTTAGTAAACTATGTAAAACTAAGTACAATCTTTGACTAGCGTTAACGAGACATAAACATATTTTATGACTTGCTGGAATCGAAGTGAATACAGATTCGATATAATACTGAAATCTATGAATGAGAATAAGCCAACTGTAACTTATTTATTTCAATGATCGATCTAATTTTATAAATAGGCTTTGTGTGTTGTATTACAAAAAGTGACCTTGACTGCTTACGACTTAACAAGTATAGTACAATTTGAATCATCTAATTTAATGATATATTTTTTAAAAGAACAACTGTTTCTCGATAAATCAAGTAGTATTTTCTGTTTTGGATTTCGTGTGACTTTAAAAAATAGTATTAAGATAGATGCTGTACCCACAGATACCGCCTCTGTAGCTAAATGGTTACACGTTTTGCCCTGCAGTGCGTAAAACGCGAGAGATCCTGGTTTCGAGCCCCGGGTAAACAAAAGATTGTTTCGGTCGAGCAGGGCACAGAAGTCTGATCAACTACTTGCCTATGAATAAAATCGATCAGTGAAACAGGCACACAATGTGTTCGCCCTATGCCCCACGAGGGGAATCGGGATTTCACTTTTTTTACAGATAAAGCATAAAATATAAATTTTTCGTGAGCTCGGTAAAATTTACTCAAATGCACATCACTTTTTTAATATGTATTTATACTATTAAAAAGCGGAAGAGTTTGTTTGTCAGCAACTACTGCTTCAAATTGATGGATGATTTTTGTTCGTTAGGCCATTTATATAGGTAGGCTGCGACTAATAGAAGCAAGGTAACAGTGGGAAAAGTGGAAAAAGCGGGAAAAAATATTAATCTTGAGGGCGTCCGTTGCGTACGCTGCGAAAATGTATCAAGATACTGTATGTATAAAATAATTAATCTTTAAATAATATACAAAATGTCCGCGACAGTAGGTTTTCTTTCTTTTAGGATCATTTTTTCTTGTAAATGGAATATGGCAAAAGACCGTCTGCTAGGTTAGCTAGTTCAGAATAAGCATAATAGAAATCTAAGGAAAAGTCAGTTATTGTTTAGAAGTAATAAATTGAACGTGCAATGGTCCGTAACGCTTTTCCATGGTTTGTTTTTTCGTGCGCGAGTGCCTTCGGTCACGGCGGTGGTCACGCCCTGCGCTTTGGCCTCGCCTCGTAAAACTGCACCCGTTATCACAATGCCCACTACTTCTTTATCATTTTACATTATTCTAAATTCTACGTTAATATCGTATAAATACAAAAGGGATAATCGTTTTACGATTCAGAGTAGGTGAAACCTCCAGAGCCAAAAAAGTTAATCGCGCGTCTTGCTTACAATCAAGTCAATCCTATGCTTGTCTGTCCAGCTCTATCATTAATAAAGAAAAACCTAAGAATATATATTTTGTATTTGTCCTACTCACGATTTAACAGGCAACACTACTGTGTTCTCTCTGGCCGAAAAAATATATTATGTTTTTCCGGTATACGTGTTTAAGACCAGCATGTCATCGGGTACAATTCGATATAATAAAATTTATTTTCCTCGTACTGTTGAAAACGGTTCCTAACATCTATCGTCTAATTGTTTGGATTTTTAAATTAAGTTTTATTTTGTAACATTGTGGTGAAATTAAAGTATTTTTTGTTTTGGTTGTTTTCTGTGCAAATTAGGCATGTTTAATATTGGTTTTGTAAGACTATACCTCTATAATAATAATTTTGTTTACTTGTTGCAAACACCAATATAATTATAAACATTTTAAAAGTAAACTTTATATTATGTGTTGCCAAGTATTGTGCTACTGAGTTAACATAGGGCTATCCATCTCGAAAATGGCGGCCATAGCAATAACATATCTTAAAATCGGACATTCGTACGTGCGTTTTATATCGATCAACTATTTTATCTCTCGTCGATTATCTATCCGAGAAAGACACATCAGTCCTAATATAGTTTTACGACAATTGATCAAAAAGACATCTAATACCATTACAATAATGTATCGGACGTTATTACCTGAATGAGGCAAGAGTAGGCAATTTAGGGCGTTGTTCCAATAATCCAGTACGATTATATCGCAGCACGTCCCCGCGGACGGGTGGAGGCACTTTAATTAAACGAGCTCTTTGTTAAAAGCCTCGGCGTCTGGCTCCCTGCTACGCTAATAACACGCAAAACATACGACCGGCCTGTGTGCGGGGGCCTATGTTTATGTTTCTCGTTAACGCAGCTTTTATTTTCCTTAATTAAAAATAATCGGACTGTGTGGAGTGTTGGCAAATAGAGCTACTGAAAGACGCTAGCCCATTCATATTTTGAATGGGTCGTTATTATTGTCCACTATTTAGAAAATGGGTTAAATAAAAATAAAATCTACTTTTTAAATATTTTCTTTTGAGTATTACGTTGGCAACCTTCTTCAAGATAAATCGAACTTGCTGTACTGGACATAAAATACGTATGTGTGGTGGGGCAGCGGGCAAAAAAATTAGTAGGTAAAATCATATTTGTCATAGCGACCAAAGAGGTAACTTGTCAAACGCTGAATTTAAATTTTGAACTGACGTGCACGTAGGACGCGTTTTTAATTGTATTACTGAGATTTAATTTTCTTACATTATTTGAGAAAACTAATATACAAGATTTCGCCGTAACTAGGTATTGACGGGAGTACGTAATTGTGCCTGGGCCTCACCTCGGCCCATATTCACACGTTCGTCCATCAATGCCTCCCTTGCTGGCCGCTACAGTAATATACTGTGAACAAAATCTTTTGAAAATTAGGAACTATATATATTATATTATTGCAGACAGAGGATTTCGAAATTTAAAAAAAAGAAGTTACAGTAAAATCATATAAGATAAGTAGTATGTACCTATTATGAAATATTAAATCTGGCTCATTCGAAGTACAAAATTGTATTGTTATAGAAGAGCAAAAGAAAAGAGATTGAAGAAAGATGCAGGAAGGACGCGCTGGTCGCAGTATTTTAGATCAATGAAGGGTTCTGGTGGGGGTTCCCCCAGACATGACCGGCTACTCGATAAAGATGAACTCAAGATCGACTTGGACTCCTTTAGTCATCACGGTAAGGATTATATAAAAATAATGGATTTTGACACAAAGTTAGCAATATTTTACTTAAAGACATTTAGAACCCAAAGTTAGTCAGATCCTCTGTTCTCTGTAGCTTCTACGGTTTTGGTCCGAAACCTGAAATACAGCTGGGAAGGAAAAAAAAAGAGAAAAAAATCTCGATATTGGTAACAATACCAAAAATTAAAAAGATTTCTGCAAAATTGGCCTTAGAGTAAAGACATATAAGCGCTCTTCAAAAACCTTAATTTTAAAGGCGCTTTTTAAACAACAAATAATTGAATATTAAATATTTATTGTGTATTAGTGCTTTAATGCAGTGTGTATTGTACAGAGTTGAGCAACGACAGCTACAGCACAGCCGCGATGGGCGCCGAGGAAGGCTCTCCCGCGGGAGGAGTCGGTGGGGCACGGTTCGGGGCTACGCCACCGTACCTGCGCGCGCACTCACCACCTCACGCACACTACCACTACCCGCCCGACCACCTCGTTTATACAAATATCGGTATGCACAATGTAATTACTGTAATGTATTATTAATATGTACTATAAAGCCATTATGTATATACAATAATTTGAATAAGATCCTCCATATTAAACTGTTTTTAACAATACGCACTAGTTACGAGGAACAGAAAGTAAAGGAAATAAGAATAGAAAAATATTGAATGCGGCCATAGTCCAATGGTTTAGTATATAAATAGCTCGATTCGCACCGAAACAATTTTATTTTGGACCGGGCACAAAGTCTGGGTAACAGACGTCGAAATGTACTTGTCCCAACGGCCCACTTTAAACAGTATAAATTTTTTAATCGGTAAAGAAATTGTATTAATATATGATGATACGTCTTTGTTGTTTATATAAACGTTAAAAACCTTTCCCAGGACAAGCAATCAGCGGCGGTCTCGGCACGGGCGCCGGTGGCGCATCAGACATGAGCAGTTCTTCATCACCAGCAGCGGGTGGATACCCCGATTTCCCACCGTCCCCAGATTCGTGGTTGGGCGAGCCTCACCATTATTCGCCTCGCGGTTATCCCTAGCGGCGGCCACCGCCGGCGCACGCGCATCTAGCGCCCCCGCCGTTACCAGCACCATGCCCGCCTCATACACTCGCTTTACAACCGTTAGAGCTCGTTGTTAAACGTGAAATGTGATTACATACATTGTACCAATAACAAACACAGATACAGATATGAATCTTCTTTGAATGCTGCATATAAAATGAACCAGTAAACACCAGGTTTCCATTGAACATGATTGCATTAAGTAAATAAACCGGAACTTAAAAGTAGATAATATAAAACTTTGTAAATGCAATTTTTATCATCATTATCAGTATGATATTGAATTCAATTATATATAGTGTTATCGTCAAAAGTCATCCATTAATATGATTAATTGTTCACAAATAACAATTATTAAAATAGATGTACATAAAAAGACAGTAAATGTAATTTTTATCCTAAGTAAGACTTTGACTGTATTTATGTGGACCGTTGCTCGATTCGACACTTCGGTTTAATCCAATGTTAGAAATTATTATATGTTAGGTATTTTATTGTAATATGATTGTATTTTCAAATTTTGACACTGTATTACAAGTTTCATTATTGTCAGGATTATTGATGTGTAAATAAAATTATGAAATAGCTCAGTTGATTATCATAAGTCCATAGTGATGTAATACTTTGTGCAAAGAATCTAGTCGAGAGATATATCATATATATTGTGTTATATGTATATAAATTAAACATTGTGCTAATTAAGGCAAGTTTTATTTACATATAAAAACATAACAATTAATTTACAGTTCTGTAGTCGCCACACCCCAGTATTGTTGCATGCGCCCTTCTAAATCTAGAGAATCTTGGGATTGTGTGTTCTTCTCTTGTATTACCGCGAAGTCATATTCTAAGTGATATGGCATTAGCCTTTGTAAGGAACCAAAGTATGCCGCGTTTGGTCCACAATTCGGCATCCTTCCGGAGCCAAAACGAAACTCTGGTTTTAAAGCAGCACCAAACGATCTCGCACTTCCAAAATGTTTCGATAGAAAAGGCAGTTTTGATTGTTTTCCAGCCAAATGTAGTTGTGGACTACTCCCTGATAAGCCTTTAATGGTTTTTATTGTGTTATTATCCGTTTTTATACCTTTCGACAAGTTGTCAAGTTCTTTATCGAAAATCATTTGCGTATTCTGTTCTAACATGTACTCCCAACATTTAAATTGTTCCTCCGACGATGGAACTTCTTCATGCTTCCGATCTTCGTCTTTATCTTCTTCAACTCGTACTCGAATAGCCCTAGCTACTCCGCCGCGGGGTTTTCGGTCTGAGGCTCTATTATGAGATCTAACACTCGCGTAATGCTGTTGATTGAGAATTTCACTTAAGGGTCTATCGCTCTGACCACTAGGCGACGAACGATCGCTGTTTGATTTGGGTGGTGAAATTGAATGGCAGCATGGTTCTAAGCGAGAACAACAGCAATCGGACCGACAAACAGGTTTAGATGTATTTATAGTTTGACGGAGTTCTCTCATTAGTAAATCGACATCAGATCTTACAGTATCAAATCGTACGATCACAACTGATATGCAATCTTCGACACCGTAACTTTGTGCTAGATCTTGCAGCCGCTTTGCAGCTAAAACTGGATTACGTTCTGATCGTACTTCACTAATAGCTGCTTCCACTGATATAACAGTCCAAAATTTACCATTTGCAAGAATGAGAAATTCATCGTCTTCTTTAATTACAGTTTGAATTACATCGGGATCCGGAACAGTGTTCGGATAGCGCGAAGAATTTCCTAATCGTTTATTATTTTCAGCTCCTAAGCATAAAGGACCACTTCGTCGACTCAAGACGGCTTTCGTGTCACCTACATTAGCTAGTCTCATGTTATATCTAACAGCAGTTTGTCCAAACGCATTTTCAGGTAAATATATCGGAGCTAAATGACACATTATTAGTGAAGCACCATTTCTTTGCCCTCTTTCTTTTAATTCTCTGTGAGCAGAAAGCACTACGTATTTCATGTATTCATTGACAGTTTCTTTTACAGACCTCTCTTCTAACAGTAATCCAGGTAGGCTAGTCTGCAATATTTTAGTTACTTCTGTATCGTTTTCTCCGTCTATAACTGCAAACAGGCCTTCCTTATTACAAAATGAAGGTAGGCGTATTTGGCCACAGGATAATTGCAACATTTTGCTGGGACATTCAGAGAAACCAGTAGCCCACTGCATGTTACCAGAAAGTTCTTCGTGATAAGCACTTTTTTTAGTATACGCCGAAGAGTTTCTTCCTGTTACATCCACTAAACTTAAAGGTCTTTGACATTTATAGGCGCTAAATTGTGAAGCATCAACTTGCAGCTTTTGATTACATGATATATCAAGGAATTTCAACTGTTTCGGTGCAAGAAGTCTTAAATCTATGCTATCCAGTTCGTTGTGAGCGAAATCCAATACTTTCACAGAAGCGCTACATGCAAACATTGGTACGGATCGGAGACGATTCGAATGTGCTCTTACAATTCTTATGTTATTGAGCTGAGCTAAGCTATCTGGAAGTTTGGTAAGTGAATTGCCTGATACGACCAATTCTTCAATATCAGGCCAGAAATTGAAAAAGTTTTCAGGTAGACTGGTTACGCAGTTATATGCCATATGTAATATTTTCAATCCTCTAAAAGTAACTATGACGTCGATCGCTTCGTCGTTCAAACAGTTGGCTGTTAAATAGAGTCGTTCTAAACAATGGGAAGATACTCCTCTGACTCGTGGTAAACGACTTAATCTGTTATTTGATAGGTTTAATACACATAGTCTATCGCAAACCGAAAAGAAGTTTTCTGGAAGCGCTTGGATACAGTTGTCGTGTAAAAGTAATTCCTTAAGCGGTGATCTAAGCCTCGGCATAGATGGAATCGTAGATATTTTATTATGAGCTAAGTGTAAATGGCTTAGACTGGATAATTCACTGCAAAATAAGTGTTCAGGCAGCGAGGTAAGTTGATTATTGCTTCCGTATAGTTTGGTCAAATCGGAACATCCACTTAGCCATTGTGGTAATGATGTTAATTTGTTATGGGATAAATCTATTTCCATTAGATTTATAGGCGGAACTGATGTAGTCAAGCTCTCCAATTCTGAAACGATTAAATTATTATATATGGTAGGCCAAAACGATAAAATGTAACTCTCGGACATATTGTATTCCAAAATTGACACTTCAATATTGTAATACTTATTACAGAGAGTCTCCAGACTTATCACAAAAAATACTCATTGTATTAAAAATATTTCCAAACAAAAATGAATTTCCATCAGATTTAAAAAGGAAAATATGTTCATTTTTACATAGTTGTTAAACTTTACTACACCTTTGATGTTTATGAAACTAGTAATGGCAAAGAAAGTGATAACACTTCGTAGTTTTTTTCTTTTTCTATCGAAGGTATATAGGTAGACAGACAAGTATGGAATTCACTTGATGGAAGTTGCCTATAGAACCTATTTTAGCTTTGGATTTTCGATAAGTACAGTTAATTATTTTTATTTATTTTAGTGTTGCTATAATAGGTTTTTTTGTGTTAATTTAAAAAATAATTCCCGTCCTTAAACTGCTCGGTAGATTTTAATGAAATTTTTGGTAGATAATGCGCTAAGTAGCGTTAACTCTGGCGAGACCCGGGAGCTTACTAACGAATTCAATTCAAAAGTCTATTTCTAAAGGGTTTTTACTTACGGTTATGAGGGGCTCGTAGCACCCGCAACGACGCGCCATGTAAAGCCATGTGTTGTATTGCATTGTTCGAAGCATATAATTCCCGTAGACCGCGTAAAGAGGACAGCACTAGTACTTCCACCGCATTGTGAGATACGTCGAGGGTCGCTAAATGCTGAAATAATGAATTTCTCTATCTAAATTTTTTTCTTATTTTTATACATTTTTATTTAGTAATTAGTATTTTAATAACAAGTAAATTTGTTAGGATATGCTTTTCTAATTAAACAAAAAATTGAAAAACTCGTTGATGGGCGGGACTAAAACTGGCACCGACAGCGACCTGTGCTACCAACAATTGAGCTAACGTGTCCTCAAATAAGCTAAGCTAACATTCAATATCTTTTAGATAAGTTTTTCAGCAAATAATCCAGTTTTATATTATTTAATACCCAGGAAGGGTACAATACTTTAAATGACTAACGTACAAGTCCCTCCTATTTCCATTACATAAGGCCTTGGTTTATAAATAACCTACATTTACATAAACTTCTATTTAAAAACTGCAATAAATTTCGAATATAATTTTCTTTCTATTTTACACGTTCGATTGTTGTACATATTTGTTTTGTTTGTAAGATTTGTATTAATTAATTAGAGTTAGATATCTAATAGTTTTACCTCATAATTTCCCAGGATGATGCTCCCTTTGAGTTGATTATGCCGAAGATCCACATTGGTAAGAGGTGATCGGTGTTCGCATTTATTTTCATAGCTTGGGCTCATCGGTCTTGAATTACTCACCTGGAAAGTAAAAATAATTATTCAATTGTAATTTATGTATGTACATTGTGAACAAAAAACTATTAACTAAAACGATGACAGTGACCACGACTGCTGCAATATAGAAATTTTGTAGGTATATTATTTTTTCGGTTCGTTTTTTTATCATAGAGGACAGACAAGCATAAGGTTCACTTAATGGTAGGTGACATAACCCAGCCATATAACATCTAAACAAGATGCGCTAGCGATCTATTTTGGCTTTTGGATATCCACAGACTGAAAGCGAAACGCGATTAAACTTGACGACTTTTTCTTCTGTGGACGGCGGATAGAATATCCCGGACAGAATATCGGAACTCCTATCACGCATTTAATGTCCAGCTTTGCAAACAAGGCCTACATTTAAATAAAACACTAACAACGCGATATATTAGTTAAATTTATTAAAAAATGATTTTTAACTTCGGCCCGACGTTTCGGATGCTTTGCAGCAGCCGTGGTTTTTTGGATTTTTATTTTAATCATTTTAAAATAAGTTTAACTGATATATCGCGTTTTAAACCGTTAAATGTGTACTACTCGTGTAACCTATAGACTTGATTAGAAAAATGTTGGACCCGTCAGGCACCGAACCCATTGATTATTATTAGCCATACATTGCTAGCATTACATCAATCCGTCAGATATACATAAGTTTTAAGGGTTTAACAGTACTTAAGTAAATATTTTGAAAACAAATTGTTGGTTAGTGTTTAAAATTACCTAAGTAGACCTTTTGTTTTATTTTATTTCCATATAAGCTCATTGCCATGAAAGTAGCAAGGTTTGACCTTGATAGTGAGGAAGATTTTAAATTTCGGAAATGCGAAGACCATGAAGGCAACCTGATCTGTATCAGTTCATTGTAAAGCTATTTAATACTTATTTTTTATTTTAATATGAAAAAGTGTATTAAGCGCCCTCTAGGTGTAATTAGGTGCATAGAATATTTCGTGTAAATGTAAGATGGCTGACTGTCATCTTTAAAAAAGTTATAGTAACGGCGTCACATGGACCACGTTGAGGTGTCACTGATGCTGAGAGTAAGAATTGAGAGATCATAAAATAAAATAAATATACTTACACCAAAGCTATTAATCATGTTTCGTTGAGCCACAATAATTCGTAGACGTGGAAGCCGCAGAGCACAGTCGATCGATTTCAGTTCATTTTTGCTCACTTGAAGTTCTTCTAACCTTAAAATAATAAACATTAAAATCATTATATAATTTTTAAAAGACAATATTTACGATTGACAAAATTTACGACATGGGCGAACAAGAACAGCAGCGTTCTGAACTCAATTGAGCTAACATTACTAAACTATTAGTGACGAATAAAATTAGTATTAAGCTTGGGGTATTATCGTTTCGATGCTTGATTGTACACAAAAAAAAGAAAAAGTATCCTAGCGTAAAGGTAGAGGGAGGAAAAAACGTAAAAAAATCTTTATCTTTTTCAGACTTCGCTATACCAAATATAAAATAAATAAAATAATTTATAAAAAATATAAGACTATAATAATAGTTTACTACAAAGTAGTCGGACAAGGGTTTTAACAGTGGAGACTTTCTTAAGACACTATCAAATTTATCGTGTATTTAAAAATTCGAACTGCGATTGTTTAAAAACCATTGCTCGCACTTTCAATTAAGCAATAATGTTTAGTAACAACCGAGTTTTTCTATTTCCTACAAAGTATATATTTCAGGCGGATAACAAAACAGCAATGATTATTGCGCTGTTTTTATGTATATGTAAATATACTTTCGAAATATTAAAACCACTCAAGGTAGAATGTTTTGTGTACTATGGCAATTTTTATGCTTTGAGAACCCATGTATTTTCAGATCAACTCAAATTATATATAAAATATTTTATTTTAAGTAGTTTATATAAGTATTTTTTAATTCTCGCGCCAATTAATCGCACACCAAAAGTGACCACATACGTCCTAGAAAGCTATTCACCGTGAAGAAAGAAATTAAGATTTTAACTGACCTCACTAGATATGATTTAGTTTAATGAAAAAGCAAAAATAAATAGTTCTTCGTGTATTTATAAAACACAAACATAAATAAATAAATGACATTAATTGAGGTCAAAGAAGTACTTATTTCGGCTAATTTTTGTTAAATAATGTGCTTTATAACTTAGTTGCCAACTATAATAAGGTAAAGAAATGTATGTTGCTTTTACCTGCAAAAGTCCCTCGTTCTAAATCCCTAAGAATTCCAATGAAATCACGAAAACTTACAAAACTTTCACTAAGGCTTTTTCATGTACTTGTATTATATTCGCTATACTTATAATTTTAATTAATTATTTATAATTAAACCGTACGCTTTATTGTATAATACCTAAGTGAAGAAGTGTTCGCGATATAAGAAGGCAGTTAAACTGACCACGGTCTGCGCGTGCGGCGAGTCGCCCCACTGCCCACATGCCTTTAGCAATAAAACGCAATACCGGGATAAACAATCGGAGTAATGTGTGATACATTCATTATACACAATGTAGTATAGCTTATCGGGCAACAATCAAGGTTAAGCAATCTTTAATATCCGCTTTCTTTTACTTCAGTCAATAAGAATAAATGTTGTTATGGATTAATAAGGATAACTTAATTTTGCGAAATTAAGTGATAACAATTGCAAATAACACAATAACATAAATAACCAATTCAATAACAATCATCACCTTCGAATACAATTTGAAGATGCAAATTTTACTAAAAGGTTATGAATGCCCTTAGAAATAATCGATTTCTTCATGAGACATTAAATGTTCTAGACTACAAACTATAATATAAGACATTTCAAATTCTAAGGAATAAAAGAACAAATGACTGTCCCTAGCTTTAGAATTAGCTAAAATTACGATTCAAGCTCAAGTAGCAGACAGAACATATAGGCTATACAAAAGATACTCTCCAGCCGCCTCTTGTTCTTTACAGACTGTAATTTATTTTGGTTATATTCTTTTCGTTAAGTGTATAAACAATAACTGAACAAGGACAGTGTCAGCGGAGGATTGCGAGAATGCCAAGTGAACGTGTCCACGCTTCGTTGCATTGATGTAGATAGCCTACTACTTGATGCACGGGTACTCACTTTAAAAATTGGCACACAACGGAAATATGTCTTCAATTAACATCTGCCAACTGTTCTTTGTTTACATTCATCATCCTTTATATTTTACTTAAGTGATAGGACTCTATTAAAGCAACATATCTTTAAATGTTTGATGTTGATGATATTTGACAATAAAGTAAACTGATATCTTGCTTCGCCGTGGCTGTTTTACTGGTCGGTTCTTTTACAAGTTGATCAGACTTCTGTGCCCTACCCGACCGAAACAATCTATTGTTTTCCCAGGATTCTAACTCAGGATTTCTCGCGGTTAACGCAACGCGGCAACACATTTAACCATTTAGCTACAGAGGCGGTCCATTAATATTACAATGTAATTTGATCAATTGTCTAAGAGAAACGAATTGTTTATATATTTACGTCACTACTCAATTAAGATGACACATTATTCTTGTACAGCCCTAACCAAAAAATGAGGACGTCATTAAAGCCAAGTGTAATAAAACTTTTAAAAAAATTATGGTAAAAATCTTACATTTTAAACAGCTACGAAATCTAAACTTACAACTAAGCTTACTTATTTAAATCGCATATTGAACAGTCAAATTGATAGTTACTTTTATTGTTTTCACTAGGAAGATTATTAGATAAAGCAACTATGTTTAAATGTAGCGAACATAAGAACTTGTAAATAAAGTACTTTGAAAATATAATAATGAGACATTACTACTTGTTGACATAAAGTTTGTTAATGTAATCATTCTATCGCAATGGGCATACTCTATAATGGCAGAATGTTTATGTAATGCGTAAAACAACATATATAGCACGGCACCTATTAATCGTCAGTTTCAGTCTATCTTTTAAATATACCAAGTATCTTGAATATTAAAGCAATAATAAGTAATGGATACGGCAGCTGCCAAGAGGTACCGGCTGCTACGCTTCGTCGGCCGAGCGTTAAGGAACAGAGTCCACAATAACAATGTATGGCGAAGTACTAGATCGTATTTACTACATCTGACCAATTCGATTGCATAATGTCAACAATGCAGTCTTCGAGAGAGTGGTTCCGTAGTTATATAAAACATTGGTAGATTATCGATCACATGAATTTATTGTATGTTATAGAAGGGGTGGAAGGGATAATTACATACATAGATATACAACGTATATGTATATATATTTAAACAAAACACTTAAAAGGTTTAAAACGCGATATATTAGCTAAACTTATTTGAAAATGATTTTTAACTTCGGCCCGACGTTTCGGATGCTGCAGCAGCCGTGGTCACGGGGAAACGTCGGGCCGAAGTTAAAAATCTTTTTCAAATAAGTTTAACTAATATATCGCGTTTTAAACCGTTAGAGTGTTTTATTTAAATGTGTACTACTCGCGTAAACTATAGACAGTATGTATATATATGTTCATATTATGTACACCATTATGTTTGTAGAATATTTTTAAGACATCCTCTGTACCAATTGTTATATGTGACTAAATGTTTAAAAATATAATAAATTCACGGTTTTTAACTTGTTATTAGATACTGGGAACGAAAATCGACATTAAAATAGTACTTAATTTCAGTCGTTATTATCATTTTCATAAACTTGACGAAAAAAATATTGGGAATTGTATGTAAGGCTGAAACCGACCATTTTTTACCAGTATGAGTCTCGGAGGGCACAAAGATATTTTGTTATGTGTGAAAGCCCGTTTCCCCCATGGGGCGAACAGATTTCTATGTCCGTATGTTCACTGATCCGTTCTTTTAACGGGGAAATATTTGATCAGACTTCTGTGCCCTGCCCGACCAAAATAATTTTGTTTCCCCGGGGATTTGAACCCAGGACCTCTCGCGCTTAACGCAATGCTAGGCAATACGTTGAACCATTTGGCTACAGAGGCGGTATTTTATTATAATACTTCGTTATATAGATAATATGTCACGTGCTATATAAAAAATATATATTTAAGAAAGAAAAGAAGAATACAGAGGAAAGTTATATGTAATGGATACATATGTACAAAATGTTTATATTCACGTAGAGAATTGTATAGAGCCTAATTAACAACATTAAATAAAACAATAATATTATTTATACTTTCTGCTATGCACGGTGTAATGGCTATAAAGGTTACGATGAAATGTGTGAGATATATAAATAATATAATAGCCATAAGTACCAACTAATACTGTATGTATGGCAAATGCCTTTTAATTATTAGATTTTAGGCTAATTAATCTCCTTACTTCATTAGCGCTATAGCGCGTCAAAAAAATAAAACCAGTTTAATTTGTATAATTATTCTATATAGGTACTTACTGAATAAGTTGAGACATTTCTTTAGGTAGCTCGGTTATTTTGTTGTCGCTAATATCTAGATGTGTCAAGGCTTGTAACGAGCACGTTTGTGGAGGTAGATTGTTCAAGGAGTTTCCGCGCATGCGCAGAACACGTAGAGCAAAACCTTCGGCGCCATGCCGCGTAAGAGCCGTCGCGAGACATGATCTTCCTCCACCACTAAGGTCCAAAACATTGGGGGGCTGCGTACTCTGAGTCGCCTGAAAGAGAAATCAATACAATTTGTGACATATATAATTTTACCTATGATCATATAAAAAGTTGTAGCTTGATCATATAAAAAAAAATAAGTTTGATAGACCTTTATCGTATACAATATACATAATAACTACCTATAACTAACTGTAATTTAAAAACGCACCGTATTACATTTCTCTTTATACATATTTGGCTCCAGACTATCCAAGAAGACATCTTCACTTTGCAAAAATCCGTTTAAGCTATCGGCTTCTTCTTCAGAGATCATCGTGTGTCGAAACAGCAGATCGAATCTAACAGATTCTTCTAACGGCCTCAAATATGTTTAGATTGCACAGCTTTAAGCGTAGGTACGAGGCCGTCGAACTCAGAAGCATTGTTATTCCCAAAGAATATGTAATTTTATCCGTTTTTGTTATTCCGGTCACGGATGTGCTTGCTTGATAAGTGACTTATGAGTGGCCTTGCAATGTTCAGACATGCTAGTGAGTACTTTGAGTTAAACTGTTACTTCTCTATTATTATAGGCTTGGCTTGAGTCAAGTAAACACTGGCTTGAATAAATACGCGGATTGCAAAATAGTTTAGAGCACGACTGAATAAATGCTTAGAATCGTTTTGACTGCTCACTCTTTGCTCGGTTCGCGGTACGGCGCTTGCCCCGCTAACTTTATCTCGAGCGTGACATTTCTTGCAGGGCGATGCGCACGCGAGGTTTTACGAATTAATTACAAGCATTACTAATTAAAATTTCCTATGATTTATAGAGCTTTTATGAAGTGTAATTAGAGTATTGTTCCATTTTCACTGTTAGTAACGACTAGCAATGTTTTTTTAAGTTAACACGCAAAACGAGATACTTAATAGGGTACTGTTAACGCCCAATAACTTTATATGTCGGTAAAACAATTATCATTTTTTGAAGACTAGACACAACCCTAAATATTTAAATTGTATCGCAATGTCAAGAACTTGACTAACTGCAATGATTTCAGATAATTTTCAAATGATGCGAATGGTTCGTTAGTTTGAGAAGTGTACCGGAATTCAATCATCGTAGATACCCTGTTTATTTATTATAAGTTACTTTTTACGGCATCCTATAATCTATATAAACCTATTTCTATAGTTTACCAGTATAAAAAAACGCTAATATATACCCATCTTAAACAATACACGCTTGACTATAAAATTGGAATAATATTGTGCACAACATACCTCTTTCAACCAGCAGAACCACATATTCCTTTCCCAAACTGTACTAAACCCCAGAAATAGATGGTTGGCTCCTGCATCCGTTAAATGGTTGCCGTGACAACGTGGTTTAATGCATATCACCCATCTCTGTGCTTTGGGGTGGCAAAATTCAATTGCTCCCCCGCTTAGTTCTATCTTGTCCCACGATGTGCCTGAAAAACAGAAACACGGGATTCACAAATATACTAGTCAACTGGAATTTAATATTTCTTATATAAAAGTTAATTTACCGAAAATATAAAATTGTGATCCAATAATTTGTGCAGGCCTTGGTTTCCATTGTGGAAATACATGGCCCTTAAGAACATGCACGGTTCCAGACTTATATACCCCACTAGATCTAGCAGCTGGACCAGCACACCAGCGTATGCAATGCCGCATCTCTGGATCCACTGCCAAGCGTAGCCGACGAGGCTTTGACCTCCATCCGAGCATTGTTAGAAACTGCTCCTGGATCTTCAAGGGGCATTCATGCAGCTCCATCCGTCTAGATTGTTCGGCACCGATTTGCAACCACAAAGTTAGCTCCTCACTCAATCCAAGAAACTTATTAACATCTTCAACGGTCGTATTACTGAACACCTTAACTAGTTTACTTGGAGCATCGATCGCGAAGGGCTCGAGACCTTCGAACACGCGAATCCAGGTGTAGTCGGAAGGCGGTTTGAAACCTCTGGTAGATGAGAGTCTACGCAGGGACTTGCGCGGCGTCGCGGGCGATGAGGCGTGCAAACCATCGTCGCAGACCATGGCGTGGCGATGGACGTCGTCGTAATAATGTCCGTGAGTTGGCGGGAGTCCGCCGTTGCATTACAATTAGGTCGCGCGTGGTGGGGGTGGGAAACATGTCGTTCGGTCACTCGGGAACACGGCACGCAAAATTCCCCTACACTTAATGCATTTTAATTTCGTCGATCAAGTAAGACTAACAATGAATTTGCGTCTTCACTAGTAAGGATATATTAAAACTCGTGACCTGTATAAATGTAAAATATGTAAGAATGGGACAGAGGGATACACTTCATATAATTTGGTTCCGCGTTGATAAACACCCCACCTGCTGAGTCACCTGTTGTGTGCAAGGACCATGAGCCCTTTGTTTTCAAAAAGGACTATATCATGTTAAGTGTCCAACCGAAGGTAGATTTTTGTCCGAAGCCCGAAAATTTAAACTTAGTACGTAGTAGTGAACAACTTTGGCTACAATAATACTATTATGTAATTAAAACAAGCTTGTCTTTTATTTTTAATCACAAGTAAATTGAAGTCCTGCCCGAGTCGAAATTTTTTTCAATCTATTTTCGATTTTTAAATTATATAGTGCCTTCATACAATAACATGTAAAAAATAATAAAGTTTTCTAAAGCTTGTCTTTACTAAAAGTAGTGAAAAATAAGTTTTTACTAACTACAATATTTTCTAGCAATCCATCCCCAAAGCTTCTGCTCATTACATCACTCATAGTACTCAATATAACTTAGATAGTATTGTGAGTAGTACCCGAATTTTGCGAGAAGTAAACGTTTAGATACTTGGAACTATTTTTGTATTACTTTTCTCTCATACACTTTTTCCATACCGTGACCATGATTGTTTTAAAGTTGTTGTAATACATATTATATAAGTTACCACTGCTACGTTAAATATATTCTGTTGTTTTATTTCTTGGGAATTATATTGGTTGGAAGGAATTCTTATAATAAAAGTAAACATTTAACAAAAAAGGGGTATGAGTGTTCTTAAACATTTATTTACATCCAAATACATATGCATTATATTTACATAGTAGTTAGTTATACTTTGAAAAAGTGTTTATTTAATGATTTATTTTATATACATCATATCATTATAATTATACTCCCTTCGAGATGGATTTTGTAAAGAATTAAAAACACAAATGCCTTTAATTACTTCACTTCACTGCACCATTTTAAGTAGTATTTTACAATGAGGCAACAGAAATTATATTTATTAAAAAGAAATCGATAATTTTATGTAATACTAGCTGAACCGGCAAACGTTGTTTTGCGGAGAGTAAAAATGATTAAATTACTAAAATGGCTATTAAAAAATAAGGGTTGATCACAGAAGGGTGAAAATTGAGGACTGTATGTATTTTTGTATGTTGTGTCATAAAAAAATAGAAATTAAAAATTTTGTATAAAAAAAATAGGGGTGGAATACCCCTAACATTTAGGGGAATGAAAAAATAGATGTTGGCCGATTCTAACGGATAAGCATAACAATTTCATCAAAATCGGTCAATCCGTTTCGGAGGAGTATGGCAAACTGTGACAAAAGAATTTTATATATTAGATAGTTTTTCGTCATATCGTTATTCTACCAAAAACGTAGGGGTCGATGACCTAAATGTTTACCTCTTCAACAAAGTCATTGAGAACTGAATATAACACCGTTAAAATAGGAACATAACAAGCTACATGTCTATATTTATACTTTTGTATAGTTCTTGCTACTATACTACCATGGATAATTTCTGTGTATCCTCTTATCACCACAGGTACAAGTCGCGTTACAGATACCCTGTGAACAGACATCAGCACTCGCCGCAAGTTCCCGACAGTTGGAGAAATGGTCTTTGACTGGGCAGAAGTTCGTACACAGTGCGTTGGATACGCAATTCCCGGGACAGTCAGCACATTGGTTACCGGTCTTATATGGGTATTGTATTATTGTTTCAATATTGCCCCTACAAATATTTAAACAAATTAGACGAACTCGATGGTCTGATAGCAGCAATGAATGTAGCTAATAAATTATAAATTGAAAAATGTACGATTCGGGCGGGACTTGAACCGGCACCCAAAGTAAAAGCACAGAACCCTGTGTTATAATCTATTTTTCATTTAAGGTCCATCATGTGCAATGCGAAACATATTAAAGTTTTCAAATGTGGCTAATCAATGGTTGCTCCTTTTCATTTAAACCGGCTCTAACATTTTTCTAATCAATTTATAATTTTTGTACAACATATAGCACTTGGTTTGGATATTGAGTGGACGCACCTCTACAGATGGAAAAGCCGTGTAATTCGCGTTTCAGTTTCAGTCTGCGTAATTTCCGAATATCCGAAGGCAACAGAGCCAGTCACGCTCAAATTATTTTAATTGGATTTTCAATAACGTTTTTTATTATATTGTAGGTTTGTTTTTATTAACGCGCCAAAATATGGTTTCATGTAACCATTTTTCTCTCATACTGAATCTGATCTTTCTGTGGTGTACCCCGCACGAGTACCACTAATGTGGTCAATTTTCAAATAACTGAAAATACTTACCCAGGGCAGTAGTGACACACATAGTTATAAAAGTGGCCCCATGGACCGCCGGGACAGTGAGCTACACCGCAGCCAACTTTATGAGTTGTAGCCCAGACCATCTGCGTGTAATGCCCAACTGCTTTCAAATTTCTTATCGGTGCACCGTAAGTAAAGTTTTGATATTCCAAAAACCATGTCTTTATTGCAAAAAACCTGAAAGAAATATATTACGGTATATGAAACATCAATATAGACTAAGATAACCGTTTAAAAACAACAATTTTAAATTTGTTTTAAACGAATATAGATTTTTAAAAATAGAATTTCTAAAGTCAAATAAGACGAATTACACTGACGTCAGATAGTTGCGCTAATTTCATATTAAAAGTGTACCTACTCCTTTAAGAAGCTATGATAGCTAAGAAGCTAAGCTAAGCTAGCGAAGCTTAGATAAAGGATTTGAAACTTAGCTAGATTAAATTCAGTCAATGATACGATATTTTTATTTGTTTAAAGATAAATCGGCACAATTATAGCGCAGGTAAATAGATATATTGTATTACTGCTTAAATTATTATATAAATTCAAGTTCACTGTACAAGCACAAAGGGAATTCATTGCATTATTATCCATGTCAGTCTGTGAAATCTGTAATTAGATGTTCACGAATTGCCGATTACCTGACAATGTGGAGGTTACGTTCGTGACTTTAAGGTACAGTATAATACGAGCGGATGAGGAAACAAGCTATTTCAACAAAAAATGGAAGCTTGTTAAGACTCAGCTCTTAATTTATTACGTTGAAGCAAAAAATAGGAATACAACAATCAAGGAAGCGTTATAATAAATATAATTATGACAGTAAGGCATATCGTCTTAAGTGGGATGCCATTTTTAGACGAAGCACGAATGAAGGACTAATAATATTTATTATTTTCACATGTATAAAATCACTCTACGATAACACCTGCAGAACACGAAGAAAGCTTCAGAGATTCCAATCAAAAGGTCGTAATTAAGAGAATCTAATAAACATGTGTTCATTTAATGTTTTTGTATGTAATAAATGTATTTAACATACCAGGGAGTTTTCTGTGATGCTACAAAGAGATTTTGGCCACACGATCCTAAATGTGGAACTGTGTTTTCAGCGGGGTTATTGTGCTCCAAGAAGACACAGCGTTCTGCGTAGTTTTGTGCTTGGCGAGCAGCAAGAGGATGCCATGACTGAAAATCACTTTTGCTATAAGTATATACAAACACAATGTTCTACATTTTAAGCGTTTCATAATCTTTACTAATATTATAAATCTGAAGAGTTTGTTTGTTTCTTTGGACGGGTTTGAATTGAAAAATTCTTCATGTGTTGGTTGGACCATTTATCGAGGAAAGCTTTATGTTATAAAACATCAGGATGTAACCTGCAGCGGGGAAATTTATCTTAGCGAGCTTCCGTTGCGTGCGTACTAAGTATGAAACGATGATTCCTCTATAAGTGATTTTAGAAAATGTCCGCGACAGTAGGTATATCTTTTAAGATTAACTCAAAAGAATGTCGCGATGGGACGCAAACGATGGACTAAGTTGAGAAAGTTGTTTGCAAAAATAAATATGATGCCCAAATAACTAGTCCACGCAGCCAAAGTCGCGGACAAAGTTAATAAAATATATATTTTTATTTTAAATTCATACCATAAGCAACATATTAGACGCTGTTGGTCTAACTTTAGTACGAAAAAAGTTATGATACAGCACTATTTTCCTTCTCACCACTGAACGTCGAGGACTTAGACCATCTTCAGGGATTTTATAAGATGGAAATAACTCTGTAAGATAAGGTTAATTGTTAAAATGTGTAAAAATATTAGGTACTAATAATATCGCAATAAGCAAATAAATCAGGCTTCATTTATCTTATTATAACACAATCGCTAAATAAATGACACCATCTACATCTTAATTTTACTACCAAGATATTTTCCAATAGTAATTAAATAACTGTTTGTTTTACTGCGATTACATTAGTCTTGTTATCGTTTACAAAAAAAAAACATAAATAAACTTCCTAAACTTACGTTTGTCACTCCAAGTCCTAAGACTTTGTAGAATCGTTATTCCATTCGACAATATGAAAACATTTATCCAAAATATTACTTTTGCATTCATTTTGCAGGGTTTTTAATGAAGCAGCACGTAATTGCGTTAAACAGCTTATTGACGTTGATACTGAAACAATGTCTAGAGAAATACATAGTACCTAGTTAACAAAAGTTCACTATTTAAAAGACGATTATTTGATAATTATATTCCGCTTGTGTTTAAAATTTAAAAAGATCATATAAATTAACATAAACCTTTAAATAATTAAAACACTGTGGGTTTATATGCTGTTTGTTTTTGATGCAATAAAAATAACAAGAAATCAAATAATTACTTACCCCTACTACGATTTCAATAAATCCAAAATTTGCACGTATTTCTCACAGATTCTTAGGATCAATTTAATTTAATGTGAGAATTGCGCTTATAAGACCGTAGTCAATACTATATATTTAAATCAATTAAGAATTTGTCGCGGTAACGGGTGTGTTTCGCGAGAGTAGGAATTGAAATAAATGGACAAACGATGATTGACCATTCGTTGCCTAGGCGCTAAATTTATTTAATACGCAATTGATTTTAAAGTCTCGTACTTGTTACTGTTATATATTTTTAGACACAAAATTAAAATTCCAAACCAATTACATACAGATACGTTATCAGAATATGTATACAAAATTTCTTACCCGACAAAGCTAAAGGGTAACATTTTATATTATTTGTCTATTCACATTAAAACATTCTCAATCTAATTGCATTTTAATTTATGTAAATATGCAAAAACTGTAAGCATTTTTCTTTCAATGTGTTTGTATGTCCCCCTTTTTAAAAATACTGAAACGATTCCAATAAACAAACCGTCAAATTGAGATAGGCCATACCTAGAAGTAAGTAATGTTATATTTATTGTTAAATGTTTTTTTTTTATATTTGTGCACCTTAATTAAAAAAAAGATTATCGTTTTTTTTTGCACTACCGCGTTTTTAATGACTTATGTATTGCGTATTTCGACTTTCATTTCGTTCAATTATTAACGATGTTTTATATGAAGTAAATTGGCGCCTTGACGCCATGTTGAGCAGTGATCATTCATAATAAGTGGCATGAGTTAACGATAGGGCATCATATTACATTGTCCAATTGTTTAATATTGTTATCACAATTTTATTTCTAGTAAAAACTAAACTTTTCATTAAACACACTACCTAGGCACATATAACTAAAAAACTATATCATAATGTAAAATTAAATTCCTTTAACTTCATACTCAGCCTAGGTAAAAAATTTTCATTTGAAATTATAGCGACGATATGAAAGTATAACGGACATGCACGGGGTTCTTAATGGAAGGTGAAACATCCCATAGTAATACCCCGCTATATAAGTTCAAAACAAGATACGCTATCGACTTTAGACTTAGATATTCGGAAGATAATCCACAGAGAAACTTAAACGCTGTTAAACTTCACGGCATTTTTTCAGGTGTGGACCGTGGATTCCGACATTAACGGAATTTCAATATTCCTACCGCCCAGTTATGATCGACATTTCCAGAGGACGTCCATATCGAAAAATTATAAATTGATAAGAACCATCCCCAACATGTTTCCCGGTGGGGTCGAACCCACGACCTGTTGTTTACATTGCTACCATTAGAGCAGCGAGTGCATTAAAATATTAATATGTGATATGTAAAACCTTAGGGTACAGTTTATAAAAATGACTTAAGTATGTTTAATAAGAACTTCCACTGGATTCTAGAAGTTAACGAAATCAAATTCTCTGTCCAGTTTCAAAGTCAAAACCAACGTTTCCTCCGTTGTATCCCAGTTGGCCTTCGATGCATCAGGGTTAATAGCATGAGGTAAAGGAAGCTTCAAGTAATATTGAGAAGAGGTAACGGTGACGCCGAGTGCATCTACCGCGAGATCTACATTTTCCTTCTTGTCCCCTGGCAATTTGATTCTGACCATTAAATTTTCACAGCTAGCCGAAGATGGCGTCTTTGGTCCAATCTGAGTTGAAACATTACACATTTAAGAGACGTAAAAATTTGTTATTAAAGGCATTTAAAGGTGAAAATATGACATGTAAAATTTCTTTTTCTAATTCATTATTCTAATAAAAACTTTTATTTATCTTCGGTTGTTTCATATTTTTAACGAAGTATTGTTTGGAGACTTAATATTTACATACTTTTATTCAAACTGATCTCTGTTACATTCAACATTGTCTTTCTATCAGTTGAATAACTTCTATCAAAGCTCTAGCCCACCACAACGGCGAGAAGTAACAAGTTATATGAGCATGTAGATAAGTAAACAAATAATATTAAACCTAATTTAATAACCCAGATGCCATTATTTTGTCTTGAGCACTAAGGTAATTACGTTTTATTTACATTTAATATACAATACCTGCAAGAATACATCTTCAGCGCTGACAGATTGTTGATAGTTCATGGTATAAGCTGGAGATTTTTTATCTGTAATGCCTGCACCAACTCGGCCAAGGAGATCCGCTTCTTCTGCTTCCTGCGCTTCAAACTCTTCAATAGTTTTAGGAGCTTTCTTTGTCTCCTTTTGATTCACAACGTCGGCCCTATTTGATGTAATTTCATATCCTAGAAATTTTAAATAGGTATCTAAGAACCCACTTCCAAGTCCTGTGCATGGGTATTTTTATTTATAGTTATGATTATTAATATAATGACAACGTATCTACGGATATATACTGGTAATTTTAGAATGAAATCTATGTTTGCTTTCAACAAAAAACTATGTACCAGTAGATGGGAGATCGTCGCCTTGAAGAATTTCTGGTTCTGGGGGTCGCATTAGATCTGCCAACTTTTCTAGCTGAGAAGGTGTAAATTCCATAACGTATTTAAAACAAAGAATAAGCTAATTCACAAGAAACTAATTAATATGCAGTTGTAATAATAGACAAATGTGCCAGGTTTGAATTGGACAAACAAATCTAGTTGCTATGGACAACAAGAGTGGTTTAATAAGTCAATAATCAATAGGTGTTATTTTTGTAAAGATATTCTATTTTAAACTATGTAATACGGTAATAACTGGATGAAATACAGGGAGAATATTAAAAAAGAGATAAATCAAGCTTTCAACAAACTGAAGTCTGGAGATTAAAATAATACCAACAATAAAATACAGAATTAATGGATTTAATAAAAGTGTAGTGTTACAGTTATGCTTCTGATATATGTAATAAGAGATTTACTACTGAATGCTCTTAGTGGCATAAATATTTAAGGGAAACCATCATCATCCTCTTCAGCCATTTCCTTGGCCAGCTCTAAATCTTGCTGCTCTCTCTCTCTTCTTTCTTCAGCACTTTCCAATTCTTTGCCATAAGACTTTGGGGGATATCTCATGGCTTTCACACTCTGATTATGTAACTCCAAACAAAATGAGATGCGCTGGTGGAATGCTAACTGGGGCTCCCGTGTACAATATAAATCAGAACTTTCCTTATTACTCATGTATCCCTTTTCTGGGTCAATAGTAGCTTCAATAACTCCGTCCCTTATAGCCTTAGCCACAATAAATTCTGCATCTTCTGCAGAATCAAGCCCCAGTTTTCTAGCTATATCTTTTGGTGAAATTCGTGAATAAGAAAGACCAATAGATCTTATTGCAGTCTTAATGACATTTTGCCTCAAACGTAAGATTAAAGTGAAAGTGTGGTCTGTACGAAATTGAGGGCCATAGTTTTCTAAAACTTCACCAAATCTCTGCAAATTACCCAATCTTACTGCCTGTGTTAGTTGAAAGTAGGATGCCAAAGCCTTTCTCAGCTGAGCCTGCCTGAATATAGCTCTTTCAGGGATATCTCCTAAAAGCAATTCAACAACAATTGCAAGTTTTTGTACAGTTTGGCGGAATCCAACAGCAGCAGTTTGTGGAGCTTTTCTCAGTGCCTGTACAAGATGTTTATGAGCATCACTGTATTCAAGTCGGGCAGCTTTTATTCTGCCCAGATAATAAAGGAATCTTGCCCATTCATTGTTACTTGCATTTTCAGGAAAAACAGATTTACTGACTAGTTTATCTGCCTGGTCATATAATGCATAATGTAAGTAATTTCTCAACAGACAGTTTATTAGGACAGCTTGGCCTTCATAATCATTGCGCAGGGTAGAAGTACGAAGACGAGCATGAAGCAAGCCTCGAATAAGATCCAGCTTATTAGTTAGTTCAAAAACTCGAGAATGATAAAAGTAGCATTTTGCTGCAATTAGATCTAATGTTCGCCTATTCTGAGCTGTTACTTTAGAAATTAATTGTTGTGAACACTCTGTTGCTTCTTCCAATCTATTTGTGTCAAGCATACGAACTAACACCAAAAGATGGATATAAACATCAACCTCAGGTACTGGAATTTTAGTAGCACTTCTAGTTCTTGGTGCTTCAATCTCTACAGCACCTGGTTGCGGACTTTCAACAAAAGCCATCAAAGATTCTTTTTCAGTACCAGGAGGATAAAGTTGATTAATAATAGCTCGTAAAACATTTCCATTTAACTTTCTTCGTGTACCTGGTAAAGATCGCAGGACTCTCAAAGCAAATCTTGGTTCCTTTGAAGTCACTGCTTTGTCAATCTGCCTTACATGTTCCCTTAAGTCTTGGACAGTAATAACATCGGCGTCCTTTTTAACTTCATTCATATCGGCATCACTAGCTGCGGCAGGACTGTCGACGTTCTTCATTTCCACATCTTGTTCAATCGGTGCCATTTTCGTTCACAATAAACTTGGAGACAATTTTATGAGAAACTTGTTCAAATTGTAATATTCATCGGTGTGTCAAAAATATGCCGAATAACAACTTGACAACTAATGACCAGAGATAGTAACGATCGCAGATATAGTAGAGGCAACTGTATTCAATATTCATAAAGACCACAGTACAATATACTTATAAACAGCAGGGCGATTTTGTAACTCAATAGTGTTAATCACTAGACATTAGTTGACAACAACTATCTGTCAAAGAGCCATTTTGGTATTTGCTATTTTCGATTGCTAACGATTATGACGTCAAAAGGAACCGAGATTGTTGATCGTCACCGTAAATGAGTTTTTGTATCGATATTTGAAAACTTGCGATTTTGTACGCTTAGTTATCATCAAACTGTTATTCACTTTGATCGTTGAAAGACACTACTCAAAGGTAGTGTTTTATTCTTATATTTTGGTGATTAACAATGTGATTATTATTTTTCTTGTCGTTTAGTGATTTTTATTTGTGTTTCATAATATTGCATAATTATGGCACGTCTAATTATATTGAGTTTAGCTGAAGAACAAAATAAAAAACTCTTGTACAGAGAATGTGGGATTCGGAATATTTTTTTTATAATAAGACAAGTACTTTAGTTTTTTAATAGAAATAGTTAATAAGTTTATTTTTATAATGTGTAATACTATAATTTTTTGTATATTATTAGATATATGATTTTATTTAAAATCTAACTTTATTTAGTTAATTTAAGTTAAATTCCAGTTATGATATAAATAGCATATATTTTAAGGTTTGTAAGTGTACCATAATGTTAGATGTTGTAAATAATTAGTTGTAATTTTTTTAATACGCTTTAACATTAAAAGTCAATAATTGTATTAATTTAGAGGAACTTATAACTATCAGAATAAAAATTTACCATTTATATCTCTTCTATTTATTAACAAAATGTCTTATGTCATCTCTAATTTCCCTAATTAATTCAGCAAGTGATTGCACATTATTTGCCATTCTCTCTTCCGCTGCAACACGTCTTCTTTCGATTTGAATAGCCTAAGATAGAAGATAATATTGAGGTGGTGGCCTTTCACGTTGACGAACTGTAATTAATGAAGAAAAATTATTATGTTATCCTAAATTTAGCAAGCCGGTGTTAGGAGTAAAAAATATTTATTTCGATTGACATATTTCACCAGTCGGTTTGCAACCTTTGCAAAAGGAACTAATTTATTATGTATGTATTAATTTTAGTTGTGTAGCTTTTAATATCATATACATATATGTCACATTAAATCATATTATAAGATGAGTAATTACAAAATAAATAAAATAGGGACAGAATGTCAGTCTTACGATATGGCATAATAAAAAACATTATTAGCCAAAGAAATTATTCATTAATAAATGAAGTAGAAAATTTGATACTTCGTCGTTGTGGTAGAGTTGTTGTATGTGGTCGGTGGTGGTTCGGCGGTTGGTACAACATTGGTGGTGAGTTGGTGAAGTACAAATTCTGTGAACATAGTTACAACTAATATTATACAGGTTTCACAGTGTAGTCATAGTAAACACACACACTATGTCACAGCAGAATTATTATCTAAAAGATATTATTTATAATAGGTAGGTAACAGACTTTAAAATGTCTGTACACAAACCTCCGTCCTTAGATGTTTCAGATTGTGACTGAGTTTCATTATCCTCTATATCTTCTTCTAGCCATTCTATATGCATATCTGCCGGCTCCGGAGTTGACGTCGATTGTATGAATGTGCTTTGAGAAGAGATAGGTGGGACCTAAAAATCATATTTTAATGGAATGAAAAACAAATAAAAAAAATTAAAATCATTTCTAATGCAATTTGGATTTGATAATTATTTTTTAGATTACTAACCGATACATTAATGCGTACACCAGGCAATCCTTCTACAGCTACGGTGCCTATTATTCCCAATGCTATATTGGGGTTCCTTTCCGCAAAGTCCACCAGCAATTCCATTTGCCTTCCACTAACTTTTCTCGGTGCAGGCATTTTAAAGCGATTGTACGTATTAGTTTGTTAAAACACAATTGTACAGCGCGATGTTATTAATTTAACTAAACATTTACACTTCATACAACGATCCATTATAGTTAACAACTAACTCTTCACAACGTTTCAATTAACAATAACATAAACAAAAATGAAATAAGAACTTTAAAGTATTCGAAATAGCCGCCAAGCCGTAATTTTCAAGGACATAAGTAGTCAAAATAAAATGTTCTTAAAGTACGTGTATTATCACTGGATACAACGCTTTCACAATTTAGTCGAATAATAGTCGATAAAAAATAGTGATGTTCTGTGTTTACGTTATAAGTGACTATGCCGCCATGTTAGTCACCGTAACTCACCAAGTTACAAAATACCAATAGTTACCATCATTTAGTTATCATCGAATTACGGTGGACAACTGAAGGCTAGTTGATAACTGATTGTCAAAAGTTACAAAATCGACTGGCTGAAGTTGAGTTATCTGAAACTTTAATAGATTTTTTTCTCTTTGGTTTGTACTCATTATAAATATGTGGTAAAAAGAACCTGTGGTAGGGGGAAAACTTTAGCTCAAAGCAAAGGGTGGAAATCAATGAAAGAATGTGCACTGTAAATGTTACTTATTAACGTTTATGTTATCAAACGAAAAATAATTTAATTTAAGTTAAAATTAAGAAATTATAATTTTTAATATTGTGCGATTTATCTACGTATGTAAAATAATCATTATGATTGTTTTGTTCCTAATGTAGTTAAGTTTGAATGATTGTTATTTAATTATACAAATAGAACTATGTACATAGTTAATTTATTCTAATAATTGTATATTCATAATTATATTACTACAATTAACCACAGATTAAATATTCAGCAACCATAGATTATAAACAAGACAAAACTACTATAGCAAATAGCAATGCTCGTAGTTGCCTAACCAATATACTGTGTTGAGGAAATTGTGCTAAAAGGCTAAAAGTTTTTAGTTACTAATGTTACAATTGAAATTAGTAAAATTTATACCATCCCATTATAAAAAGATTTTGTGCCAAAAATTATAAAATTTGAGGGCGCCACGACCACAGGGGACCGGTTGATTCTTTTCATAAAATATCAATGTGTTCTGGAAATGGTTTGCAAAGAGGACGTGGTATCATGGTTTAAAGAATTGGAAAGCTATAAACGTATAGATGCAATGTGTACATTACTAAATATGTGCTTGCCGTTCGAATTACGTTTTATTGGAACATACCTAGAAGAACTCGGAAAACGAGACTTCCAGGAGTTGCGTGGAGCAGAGCTAAGGGCTAACAATCCAACGGATCTAGCTGCAGATATTGGCGGGGCGGATACAGATTCCAGAACGAGACGAAAAATGGCATTATATGTCTCTCTGCTGAGATCATGTAATTTTGCTTGTGCTACAACACTGTACAATGCTATGGTGAATTTAGAACAAAGTGGTCTATTAAAAGGTCTTTATGGTGACCTTCTTGAGGAGATTCTACTTCTGTACACAATGGCTCTGCATCATCCAGCTTTTACTTTTGACCAGAAATCACATTTTGGTGAAATTTTGGAGAAATTGAAGTTGGAGGACCTACAATATCAAGGGCAGCAAGAACATTTAAATGTTGCACCAGTGAGTGGCTGCCATACACAGCCTAGCATTACCCCTAATATGTCAGTTCCACCACCAAATATTCCTAATTTGGGCCCACCTATCATGTATGTCAAGACACCGGTGGTGCAGGTTAGTTTGAGTGTTACTTCTATATTAGTTGCTGATTAGCATTACTTTCAGAAAGTTTCTTATGCAATCATATTGATATCTGGTTTTTAGTAATTTTTATTTTCCAATTAGATTTTGTACATATATTTATTTAATCCTAAGTAATTGACTTAGATAAGCTTGACAATTATGTTTCATAATATCCATATTTCAATAATTACTAAAAGAAACTACAGTTTATTTCAATCAAATACATGTGCTCCACATTTTGTGTACAGTAAGCAATTTATTCTATAATTCATACCACTACTAAGAAGCACTATGGTGTGCAGTATTGAAAACTAGTAAGCATAAAACTTGATAACCTTTTTAAGGTTTTTAATTTGACCTGTTTAAAGTATATTTGTGTGTGGTTCCCTCATTCTACCCATAATATACATATATGTAGACTTTAGTTGATACAAAAATTTATTATGTACTACATAAAATCCAATAAGAAAATCTGTTGGTAAAATATTATAACCCATGGGAGATAAGTTATAGGCTGTACTTATTGTGTTATGATAAAAGTTTTTTGGTTACCCTTATAATACAAATTTAACTATGTTCATTTATAATTCTTATTTGTTGTACTTTTTTTTTATTTGAATAATTAAATGTACCTATATTTTTCAGCCATCAACTTCAGATGCAGTATCTGAGATAAGTTCTCCTCCAGTGTTAAGTGCTAGTGGTTTGCCAATGTTGCCTGATGTGCCCCATCCGCCACCTGGCTTGCCTATACCGCAATACAACCTAGGAGAATTTATAGGACCGCATACATGGCAGCACACAGCAAATATAATTGTGCCACCATTAAGTCAACCACTAGAGGTAAATTTTAAGATAAAATTTTGTTTTAAACACATCTTCACAAATAATTTATAAAGGTTTCTTGTAAGAGAAACTGCATAATTTCAGAAAAAATAAAAATACTTTTTTTCATTTTTACTTCTATATTACATAAACACAGGTTTACTTTTAAATCTAGATTTTATAAATGCTGCAATAGGACACTTACAAAGACTTGTACTGGAGTCAAATTATTTTCATTTAGTATAGTGACACTTTAATAATTATGTTTCTATTCATAAACCTGATAAGAAACAGAAGTGGAAGAATTAAGTATTCTTATAGTTAATATTTTATTGAGCCAAATTTCAAATTATATGATATTTAAGATTATTTAAAGAATATCACCTTATTTAAACTTAAAGCTTGTGTATCGACAGGTAATAAACTATCCACCGGGTGGCGGAGCACCACCCTCGCCTCTAGTGTCATCACCGGGTGACAGTCGAGCTGCTTCGCCACGTTCTCGGCGCCGTTTGTCACGAGACCGCTCACCGCCATTGCCTTCAGAGCCACCTATAGCCCATCTCACAGCCAACTTTGACACCCTAACAGTAGGAGAGGTACATATAAAGCAAGCTTATACATTCGTAATAGACAAATAAAAGTATATAAGTCTAACTTATCAATATACTCATTTCATACAGCTTCATGTCATTTTATATACAGATTTTTGAAAACGTTAACATGTCATTATAGTTGCGGCATACAATGGGTGAAGAGAGACTTCGTGAAATCAGTGCAGTCCATCAACAGTATCAATCGTTAGAGAAACTGAATGGGGTAAGAAGGCGTGCGGCGGCTTACTGTCCCCCTCCGAGGTCTTCCTCTGATAGCGGCTCGAGTGCGGCATCATCACCGCCCAGCACACCCGCGCCACAGCAACGACGTCACACGCCGTCTGCTCCTCCGCCCCCTACGTCCGCCCCGCCGCCAGTCCCCTACATCCCGTATCCCAGACCGTACCCGTATCCAACGCCACCGCCGACATACCGTCCGCCACCACCCCCCTTCGCTAATGGGGAACCCCCACCGTACCCGGCTCCGGCCCCCTACGCCGGCTTCGTACCCGTTCTATATGCCCCGCCAAAACTCTCATGTTGGAACTGCGGAAACGCGGGGCACGCCGGTCACGAGTGCAAGGAACCTAGCATGGAGGAGATGACGCGCGCGGGTGGCTACCAACTGGACTTCGGCGGCGCCCCACCCCCTGAAGCGACGGACAAGTAGTAGTGACTGGGGGTTGCCACTTTGTGTTTCGAGTCGGCTCGCTCTAGCTACGCTCGGGTGACGGTCGGAACCTCGCTTCGGTAGCAGTGGGTTCCGTAAATCGTGCTGAGCTCGAGGGGTTCGATTCTGAATATATGCCAGACAGTTTTTGATTTTAAATCGAAACGTTTAATAAATGTTAGTCTGTGAGCCTCAACGGCTACACATTCAGATATAGTGAATTGAAATGTTATTTGTAAGTGATTGCACTTTTGATCGTTATCTTTAGGGCCCAGTGTATCGGTGTTAGCGTTATTAAGAATACTTTCAAAAAAGTACAAAGTATAACATAAATATAATAATATCTTACATAGTCTATTAAATATAATATTAATCACTTTGTAGAATTGAAAGTGCAGTTACGTAGTTATGCCAGAATGATTTGGGAATTCCATTTTTTTATGAAATCACTACTGCAGTATTGTTTTTGAAATATCGCCGATTTAACAAAGTTCATTTTACAATGAAGTGCCATTATAAATAATAGTGAAATAGTCCATATTAAATGCATGCATGTGGAATAAGTAATGGAAGAAACAAATAGATGACGAGGACTCATTTTATTCTTACGCACACTTATTTGACGATTATAATCTTCAACGGTATAGATTATTATTGATACACGGTGAAAATAAGTTACAAATATTGCACAATACCGAAGTGAAATGGAATTCCCGAAATACTCTGCTCGACTCATATCAGTGTATATAACGAGTGAATGTGAGCACACGGGTTCAAATCTTTCGTTATTGATCTTTCTAAGCTATTTAATATACAGTTCAAACATTGTGATGTTAACAATATGACAGGTTTGTTTCCTTCAACCCAAGACTGACTTACTATTAGATATGGATTTAATCAAATGTGCTATAATGAGCCATCGAAAGCCGAGTTAACGATTACAAAACGATAACGAACGAAGAACGTATAACATTTTTCTAGCGACAGTATGTCAATTCTACTACCCATATAGTATTTTTTAACTTCATTATCGTTATATAATTGTTAACTTAGCGACGGCGCCGGGACTGTTTGTTCTATAGATTTGAAAGATATCAACGTACCATATTTATGACTGAACATACAGGTCGCGTATGTGCATTTGGAACAAGATAACGTTTTGATCAAGCTCATGTAATTCAATGCTCTTATAATTAATTCGATTAGTCTTAAACATAGTCACTGTATATAATTATAAATATTGAGCAGGGACGCATCGTTGGACGGTCGGTCGTACGTTGTAAATAGTTAACTTTCTATTTTTATTTAGCGATTCTAGTGTATTTTAAAATTAATTTGTAACCGTACCGTTTAAGATTTTTTTGTTTACAGTCACAAATTACATATTTGTCCCATTATTTAGAGCAAAGGAAATAAACCGGTTCTCATGATTTGTCTGTAAAGCGTTATTTTTTTATTCGAGTCAAATGTGCATCGGTGGGTTGCAAGGTATGTGGCCGATACAATAAAAGATTCCACAGATCAATTGGCAATTATTGTCGATTTTTTAACGCAGTCTACAATTGTGCTGAGCCATACTATATTTTTATCACCAAAGCACAATATCTGCGTAAATAGCTTATTTTTTAGTTTTGACTGTATTGTGTCCTAGTTTCGGTCTATATTTATACATAGCTAAGTAATTAAGTCGGCAGAAGTAAAACTGTAAATTGAGTGCACAATAATTTTTTAAATTGTACATAACATTTGTAAATTAATAGTGCTTGGGAACTTAATAGCAATTTAAATGTGTGTAAACTGTGGGACTACCGATTAATAGAAATTATGACTCCTTATGAAGGTTGTATGTCCACGATAACGTTTGTGTTATTTATATATTATTAATTTTATTGTAATATTTAAAACGATTTAAGAAGTAGATAAAAATAGCAGGTTTAACTTAACATTTACACCTTAAGTCTTTATAATGTAGTGGATTTTTCATTCGCTACCAGGATAGCGTTTACAAACTGCATATCAATCGGATATATACTTCAAGGGGTTAGGAAAGGCGACATCAGCGGTGGACTTAGTCCGACCGGCAAACCAATGGACACGTTATCTAGAGCAGTCCGAATAACATAACTACATATGCGATAGGGGCGATATAATTAGTGAAGCCAGCTTTTAACCAATAGGAAAGCAGCGCCAACGAACGCGTACGCAACTTTTTTGAGAATAAAAATGAAACAAAACACGCCTCATGGTCATTGGTCCTTGGTTTGCCGACGACTTTCTGACTACAACGTACGTTTCGCGTTTTTGTCTAACTTCCTAGTCCCACGAAGCTTGGTGAGACAATGAACATTCGAAGCCAATACGCGGTCTTGTAAAAACGATTATTATGAAATCCTTCAAAAATTATGCAATATTTATAGTACGAATAAGTAACGTCGGTCTATAGAATAGTAGTTATATTTGATAAATTATTTAAAAAAAATGTTGTTTTAATATGTGAACTTTTTCTTCATTCAAAATGGATTTATTTCTTTGAATCGGTCTCGAGTGTAAGCTTTGAAAATAAAAGTACAGTAGGTTGACTATCGCATATAATTTATCAGACGTAAATGATATTAAGTGAAATTTATAGAATACTTGTAGTACTTATTAGTAACAAAGGGATATCCTTCGCTACAAAAATAATCTCTTTATTAAGTATTTTATAGTATATTTCACATTGTCATTACAGATCAGTTAATTCAATTCATGTGGCATAAATTTCTATTAGCAGAACTACATGAAATTCGTCCAGAAACACAAAAATATCCAGTAAAAAAGCTTTAGTTGTTAATTAAGTATTTAAAAATAGTAAAACCAATTAATAAAAAAACCGGCATAGAAGTTTGTGATAAATTTTACCTAAATTATGAAATAATAATTTATCAACATGTATTATGTACGTTTGTGAATTGATTTATGCTGTATTTAAATAAAATCAAATAACTCCTAAAGGAATTTTTTGTTTTATATGTGTTAAATTACCAAGTTTTATATGTATATTTTTAATTAAGGAAGCAACGGATTTGACTTTGATAATCGAGAATTAAGTTAAAATGAGTTTCATTTCCTAACACTTGTTTTGCAGGTGTAGACTTGTCACACAGGTTTTAATGTTCTTTTTTAATTCGTTCATCATTTAATCTGAAAATTTAAGGTTCTTTATTAAGCGTTGTTTTTGTGTGTTGTAATAATAATAATTTGTAAATCGTTTTATAGAATCATTTTCTTTCACGCGTTTTCAAAAGTACACTGTATTTATTGCACATGGCGTAGCGGGGGATTACGAAAAGTAATTATGCGTTGATATGCAGCTTAACTTTGTACTACCTAGTAGAAGTATGAATATATTTTTTAACTTTGTACAGATTGTTAAAATGTGATAATGATTTTCGACATAATTAGAAATTGTGATTTAGTAAGGTGTGTAACTAGTTATAATAGTTTGTAATAAATACAAATGAACTCGCTTCACTAAATAAATTATACTTAATACTGCCCTTGAGCGACGTGTTTATATCGTTGTTTTCCCATTTTTATATTTGGGTACTTATGCTGTTGTACTTTCTACTAATAAAATCAGCATTTCAGGAATATGAGTGTTTCGGCCCAATATTTAAGACCTATGTATCCCACCAATGCTGTGAATCGTTTGCTTCCTGAAAATAAACAACCAAAATATCTTTGTTATTTTTTTTATATAATACAACTAGTTCCTAATGTATTGGCAAATTATAAAGTCCACTATACAATTTTATTATCGATCAAGGGTTACATAGTATACTGTAAAAGGTAAAAAACAGTTATTATTTTTTCGATCGTATGGGCTAATTTTTCTTGCTGATTTAAAAAATGCATTTTAAGATGTATTTAAAAATATTTTGATTATTATAAATAAATAAGAGCATGGATGTAAAATTTTTATGGGCATTTAGAAATGCATCCTCTATAAAAAAACGTTTATTTCTAAAGTTAGAAAGTAAAATGATACTGGCATCACCAGCACATTAAGAAAAGATACTTTAAACCATCTTCATCAGTAAACACCTGAACACGTGTTAAATTTTGTGCCAAATTTTCGTGACCAAGTGGGTAGAGTTAAACTTGCTTAGTTTGCTCAAGAGATGAAAACTTTACGCTTAAATCAAACTTTCGCCAAAAGTTACGGACAGACACGTACCTACTAAAATATAGCAGATTTTTTGTTCAAATAGTTTTTTTTTAACGTTTATTACGATTTTTTTATTTATCAGGCTCTAACATCACATAAATCTTAAGTTGAGAGTGCTTAATAAAAAAATAGCAGCCTAGATAATTTTAACCAGTGCCTAAATAGTCTAATACTGAAGAATAGTAAGTTAAAATATAGTTTGGAAGCTGTTAGAAACGTCGGGCCGAAGTTAAAAATCATTTTCAAATCAGTTTAACTAATATATCGCGTTTTGAACCGTTACAGTGTTTTATTTAAAATATAGTTTGATACAAAAATTAACTACATCAAGGCCTTGGACTTCGGATTTAAAAATCTTTCACTATAACTATATTATTCTAAAATAATCTGGGTTTCTATGAAATTAGAACGCACAAAGAATCGAAACGTGCTTCCCAATTCCGGTCCACCTAACTGCTAGCTTACAATTCCCTCAACGACAAAGAGAAAAATTTTACGAGGCTTGCTTTAAAATGAAAATTTAGTTCCTCGCAGAAGAACTAGGCAGCTACTTATGGCTGTGTGCGGTTCATTTCATTCGTTTGTGAAATTGTATGTAACTTTTAGTATGAAAAGGCACCTTTATTTGAACAAGTAGGTGAATTACGTCAAAGCAGTGTGCTTCTCGATTAAGCTTGAAAAGATAACGATTAAGAAAATATGTTATCTTAACTTTGGTAAGACGTTTTAATATATTGTATCATATAAAAATGTATGATTCTATTTAGTGGGTTTTGAGCGGGTTCCATTCCCG